ACTCCCAGGATTAGCTGACAGACGTAACCGCAAGAAAATATTGCGGCCTTCCGCAGCCCGCGTCAGTTTTGAAGAGAACACAATGTTAGTGACGGATCCCCTGAGCCTCGTTTGGGCCTTGTATAATGCGTTTTCCTTTATTTCCACGGCTTTCACGCTAACCGCTGTACTGTTGGGTAGACACATTGACGATGTAGGGCAGCGCAACGCCATTGACCGGGGGATATGCCACTTAGTATTTATTTATTCGTATCAAATATTTCGTTAATTCAAAAATTCGTAAAAAGAGTGATCTCAGATTGATTAGGCTCAGAAAATCGACCATGTTGCTTTAAAAACGTAACAGCACTTGCCGACCTCACGATCCCACTGCAGCTTCAAAGGAGGCTAATAAAATAAAATAAGCATATTACGAGCAAGGAAGATATCTATAAGAGAGCTTATTGAGACGTTATGCTCTGAGGGTTGAGATAAGGAAGGGTGAATAAATAACGTGCGGATTGAATTTTAGGAGCAAATTTTGTTATCTCCTTGATATCTCCACGATGGATAAATATAACGAAAAGGTTACCTTTGAAGTTTTGAAACGTTTCAGAATGAAAGCGTTAGCAAGAATTCCCCCGCAAAAATTTCCTTCGTGCTCACTTTAATCTTTTAAGCGATTGGTTATAGTTTACTTCAAAATGTTCTTATAAAACGCTGTTAATTTCCCTCGTATTAAAGGAAAAATAAGGATCCGAAAGTAGAATTTAACTAAACTTTAATAAAATGAGTTTGCCCGACTGTCACTTCAAAATTATCCTGATGAACCTTATTAGCCGAACCAATCTCTTAACCACATACCGCTACAAACAAGTCATCAGTTTTCCGGAGCACTCGTTCCCATTTTCACCCGATCACGACGCCGTTGCGGCCCCCAGATCCCCACGACCCCTCCAGGGCTGCGAACTGCGAACACGAAAGGCAACTCACGGAGCGTTAAGCAAACCCAGGGTGTTTATTACCCGTACATTACGACTATTACGAGTAAAGCCAGCTTCGACTTGATTCCTTGCTAATTTGAGGAATCGTCGAGTGCAGACTACTAGGTGGGGTAGAAAGATGTGTAATTATATGGTAGTACAGCAGCTAGAATCAGATGTTGGGAGGAACAGTGGAATATACAGAGTGTTTTGAAAAAAAGCCATAAACTCAATAGCTTACAAAACATCAAAAAGACGAATTTATTTCCTGTTGTTGTAGTCCAGACGTAGTAATTTTGTATAAACCTCATTTTTCTTTATAAATCCGCTACAAATATGTTACAGAACCACTCCCTAAAATGTACAAGCGCCATTCAATAAAAAAAAATGGTTTACCGGGTATGTAATTTGTCTCGGCCCACGTATATCTTTTCTGATTTATTATTAGGAGTCCATCCCATGACAGCGCCAGATTATTGACGTATACTAACTTTAATTAGCAAAATAAGTGGATTAGCTATCTAGTAAGATCGCGTGCTACCGCCTTGAGTCTTACTTGAATCGCTTGTCGGGAATTGGGTTGGGCAGTAGGCAATAATTCCATTTCTAAACGTAGGTACTTCGACAAGAAATACGTTCCCTGAGCAGACTGTGACCAAATTATAAATTTCTAGGTATAATATATTGAAAATCTCCTTCCTGGAACTTCATATGTTCATAGAGTTACTTGAAGATATACATATATCGTTCAGAATAGTTCACATTGAAAATAGGAAAATTTACTTCTTTAAATAAAATGTAGATACTTCTTATATAAGCTGTGCTTCTTACATCTGGATATGAATCACTATGATTTGAACCAGACCCATTGATGAAAATGGTAAAAGTATATAAGTAAATATAGTAAGTATAGTAAATATAGTAAATAAAGTAAATAGTATAAATTAATATTGTTTGTTGCAAAAATATATGAGTTTATTAAAAAGTACTTGGTTTTACTGTTTTCTTTATTTAGAAATAGACTAGAACAAGAGCGGTATTACTGGATATAAATTAGTTATTAAGATATTAATGTGACACAAAATCAAATTCAAAACGAAAAAATAACAGTTAAAGTGTTCTATTGTAAAGGACTTTACTTGAAAGTTTTTTTGTCTGTAATGTTTTAACTAAACACATTTGCGGCTAAGTTAATGCAAATATGAAAAGTGTATTTAAATAAAGATGTAACTGCATACAAAAATTATATGCAGTTGAACTATATATAAGCATACATTTCATAATATTAAATCTGCTGTTGCTTTTTTAGATGCCTTCGTATATTTAAATTGCGTGATATAATATGAAGACTCCACGGACTACATCTTATACGTTGTATGCTAAGAGCGTTTCACTATTCAGGGCATAATCTTATAAACCCTTGTCACTCAGAACAATCCCAACTATTCCATTTAGGAACAGATGGCTGCTCGAATTTTTCCCAGCAAATGCGACATAATGAAGTAAGTGACCCTACGGACAAAATGTCCATAGACATCACAACGAAATTAGGATGTCAGTCTTAATTTTCGTACTAGATTAACTCGGTGCAAAAAAGTAATTATTGTATCCTACATTTTTTATCTAATTCTATTTCTAAGTAATGCTGGTTAGTTTAATTATTTTATTTATTACTTATTATTATTTATTTTTATTTGAGATATGTAATAATAAAATTTCGTTCACTGGGTCGATTTTAACGCTTAAGTCTATAGCGTAATTTCGATTTCCTTTACGAAGAAATCACCGCTCATAAAGCCATTCTTTTCTAGTAAAGAAGCCGTACGGCTGGGTTAAAAAATCGAACACTAATAAAAGTTTCACAACTTTTATGGCGAAAAAGTCGAGCGACGAGAGGATTTGCCAGGGATAAACGATATTATATTTTATACTACTCTCATAGCAGTCAGTATCTATTTGGTTGTTTTCTGTATTTTTACATTTATAACTTTTTAACAAACTCGGTAGTCGAGTTTATGTAAAAAAGTTTTCTCTTAACTTATAAAACTACTATCTGTTGCCCGGAAAGTAGATTAAGACCCAGCTAACTTATTTATCTCGAGAAGGAACTGTAATTACGGCTCCGAAAGCCGAACGAACGCTATAACGATTTTAAGATTTCCGTCTTATGGATAAGTTGCGAAATGGAAGAACCGTTAGTTTGCTACACGTCTCTATATCTGATAATCGGAAAATTATTTAGGTTTTTTAAAACAACATCGACAGAAGAGTTTTTAGAAATTTACGCTCGATTTAATTCGTTTTCAAGTTATTCAAAAAATTTCACTCAAGTTTCGAATACCACCAAGGGAAGCGTCGAAGAGCCAACCTCACGGAGCTTACGAGAAGAGCGTTCGAACGTCGACTTCGAAATAATTTCCAGAACTCCATAACATTTTTTACATATTCATACATTTTTGTGCTTTTAATTATAAAAGCACCTCCACTGCTGAGGTTGCAGGAAAGGCAATAAATGTATACTAGTTAAAAAAAATAAGATATCAGCATTTCATTATTATTTGTTTCATAAGCGTTAAGGGAGCACCAAAAGATGTTTTGCAAGTAAAAGCAAATATAGATAGACCTATAAAAATTAGAAACGTAATATTTATCTATTTATTGTTTTTGTATCATCAAGGGCCTGGTCAGATATAGCTGCAGCAACAGCTATTTAATTAAAAGGACACACGACTGACACAGGTCACCAGATCTGTTCATTAATTATCACACGAGTATCGATTTTTCATAGAACAGCGATTCACAATACCGATGGGTGAACAAAAAATACTCCAAATATAATGGGGAGGGCCGGAATTAATGTGTAACTCGGTAAATGTAAAAAGTATATTGTATTCGACCGTCATCACCGTGCTGTCTCTCATTTTAACGACAATTTCAAAAGCTCTCCGCCAGCGAGTATAACGACATGGATGGCGTGCGGAGTGGAAATAATTCCGGCAGCGATTGCATGATGGGGGAACTTTTCTTTGATTAAGGGTTTGGCCAAATGCAAACAGGCCTTATGTGAATCTCTAGGCATTATTGGGTTGCGACAAACAAGAGAATGCCTGCTCGCGCTTTGTAGGAGCAGAATACCTGGATGTAAATAATTGAACTACCTAGTCACCATGCGCCCGCCGTCATCAGGATGCCCCAAAAATGATTGGAGTAACCCTAGTTAAGTTCTTGACATATCTGAGATGTAATGTTAAAAATTTCTATTTAATTTTATTTATAAGGACTGCAAATAAAATTAGATAGCAAAAGGAATATAAACGCCCATTTGTTTTTATGCATACGTTCGTTGCTTGGAAAATTAATCTTATCAAAGCTAGTAAATTCTTAAATCATACCACAGAATAGCACGCTTACGGTAACAGTGCAAACGAGTGACAGAGAAAAAAAGTGATACTTTTGGTACAGCTTTCTCTCTCGCGCATGCATGAACGCAACTCCCTTCGTTTACGATTAGAGATAGAAAGCTAGGATCCAAACTATCACCGTTTACAGCGTCTACACATTTTAACACGCGGTGCTTCCTCCATTTAGTGTATGCTCTAAAAGTAAATCACTGTTAATAGAAAGTCAAAATATTGCACCTGGCCGTGAAACGAAAGCAACTCTGAGGGTCCGAGTTTCAAGTCACTGTCGACATATTAATTTCACATCTGTATCTATAAGAGCCGTGATGGTAAAGTAAAACGTCAAAGGACATTGAAAAATCTAAACTACGTCAACCGCCAGCTGCATATGGTCGCCATCCGGTAATTCATCACATTGGTTGAAAACCTGTTGGACTTGAGTAAATCGGACATTTTTCAGTGTCACAGCATATTGGATACGTCCGAGTATCTACGTAATCTAGTTATTTTTATAGATTTGTACCAAAGGGTCTGCATTTTAAGTATTGCCAACTGTTAAAACTTATCACAGAAATTAAAACTTAAGTAACCAGAAAATAATGTCAAAAACAGAAAACAGAAAAACTGTCATGTCTGTCGCTGTCATTCAATGACGAGTGAACGGTGAATACAATTTATGAATTTATAGTTATGTTGCTAGAAAAAGGAAATTGCAAATATTTTATTTAATGTTGTGAAATATTTTATAACATTATACAAGAATATATTATTGTATTAGTGACCTATAAAAATTAACAAAAATGCAAAACAATAATTCCCGTGAACGGGAGAGTAATCACCATTCCAGTTCTGGTAATCATTCTCATTCTGTTACAATGAATATGCGAGAAAAAGAAGAATACATAGAAAATTTCAATTTTCCTTTCTGCGATTTAACAGATAAATACGAAAAGGTTACTAAAATAGGTCAAGGAACATTTGGGTAGGTCCCAAATCCTTTACACAAAAATGCATACTGATTTTGTTGCCTTGTTTCAGTGAGGTATTTAAGGCTAGAGACAAAAGTAATCCCAAAAAATTTGTTGCCATGAAAAAAGTACTTATGGATAATGAAAAAGAAGGGGTACGTTACCTCTAAGAAACGATATTTGAGTGAACTTACCTGTACGTTTGATTTTAGTTTCCCATAACGGCACTTAGAGAAATAAGAATTCTTCAACTTCTTAAACATGAAAATGTTGTAAACCTGATAGAAATCTGTCGGACGCAAGCTTCGCAACATAACAGATATCGATCGACGTTTTACTTAGTTTTCGACTTTTGTGAACATGATTTAGCCGGCTTACTTTCGAATGTACTTGTCAAATTTAGTTTAGGAGAAATAAAGAAAGTTGTTCAACAACTTTTAAATGGACTGTATTATATACATAGTAATAAGATATTACACAGAGATATGAAGGCGGCAAATGTTCTAATTACCAAAAATGGAGTATTGAAACTAGCCGATTTTGGACTGGCTAGGGCATTTAGTACAAATAAAAATGGAATGCCAAATAGGTAAAGCAATTCTTAAAGTAGTAGTAATATTTCTGGTCCTAATCCATATTTCTGTTATATTTTTTAGATTTACAAATCGTGTAGTAACTTTGTGGTACAGACCACCAGAACTACTTTTAGGAGAGAGAAACTATGGACCCCCTGTAGATTTGTGGGGAGCTGGTTGCATAATGGCTGAGATGTGGACCAGATCACCTATAATGCAAGGGAACAGCGAACAGCAGCAATTGACACTCATTTCTCAGTTGTGCGGTTCGATCACCCCACAAGTATGGCCCGGGGTAGAAAATTTAGAATTGTATAAAAAAATGGAACTGCCGCAAAGGCAAAAGAGAAAGGTAACTGCCAGTTTTCTTGTTAACATCCTTCAAGTGTATTTTTTTATTTGCTTTTTTGAATACATGATTTTAAAGTTTTATTAATACATTGGCTGGGGTATGTCTCATATAACACGATATGTTTGGGAGAGATAAAATTCTGCAACTTTCGCTTTGTAGGAAGACTGTAATTTCATTATTTTACCATCGTTTTTGATTTTATTTGTATCTTATGTCGAAAATGAAATTGTTTGCTCGAAACAACTACATCGTATGTGCAGGCTTACCACTTTGTAATGTGCGAGTCACTTAAATACGTACAACATTGTAAATTTTGTTACGTAAATACTAAAAGGTCTTCATATGTTTTTGTTATTTTGCAGGCACCTAGAAGCAGGCACATACAACTTTGGTATTTGTAAAAATATTACTCTTTAATTCCAAACAAATAATATATACGCCATACTCTAGGGAACTTGTATACATGTCCTTTGATTTATTTGATCCATCTCGCAGGTTAAGGAGCGCCTTACTCCCTACGTGAAAGACCCGTATGGCTGTGATTTACTCGACAAACTGCTTGTACTAGATCCTTCGAAAAGGGCAGACGCAGACACCGCCCTGAACCATGACTTTTTCTGGACCGATCCCATGCCCTGCGATCTAGGAAAAATGTTGGCCAACCACACTCAGAGCATGTTCGAGTTCCTGGCGCCTTCCCGTAGAGCCACTCAGATGCGGCACCATTCTATGCCTAGGCCGACCACGTCCGCCGTTCAGGACAGCGGGTATCAGGACAGAGTTTTCTAGTTAAAACCATTTAAATAGGAGGACTTTTCGTGACGTTCGATTATATTTTATTGAACCCCATTTTTATGGATTGCAGTTACTTAATTTTGATAACAGTTTGTTTTACAATAATGATGAGAATGTTAAGTTGAAAGGGAAGTTCTTTGTGATTTATTTGGATGTTTGTTTTTCAACGGAAAGACGCAGCAGCAAATATTAAACTTATTTACTTTCGAACTAGGTGTTGATTACGACCGTTATGAATGGAAGTGACTCAACTAATTCACTAATTTGTGATGTCGTAAGAAATCCAATGCCACTCGTTAAATAATTTGGATCAATAATATTTAAAATCAACTGTATCGAATTTACAGTTTATATTTAAGGATCTTGCATATTATAAGACTAAAACTACTGACTATCGATATACAATTGCTTACAAAGATATATACTGGAATTTATGTGCCGGTACATTTTTTATTTCAGAAATTTCTCTACGTAAACCAATACAGAAATCTTTGTTTTAATTTTTTTTGTAATCAGTATATATTTGTGAAGTCGTTAACATTTTTTTTAATTCGGTTAATGTACATCAAGCTCTAGTTATTGTACCAATCAGTGCCGAATGTTTTTTTATGAAATAAACGTATATTTTTTCCTGTTTTAGCATTTTTCTTATAAGTAGAATGAACCTACCCCATTCACCCAGTGGCTTTTCTCCGATAGTCACTGTCCGAACAGACTTAAACACTTTTTAAGGGATGACCGAAAAAAATCGTCAACTTGAAAATTGATGCTTATTTTTAATTCCACAGTTAAAGGGAAATTTCATTAGTAATATAGTGAACAAGCTTGGGTAATATTGAGCAATAGGTGACTAATTCGAATATTTAAGTAACGGTGAAATAATTATGAAAGTGGGTATTTCTGTATACAATGATTGAAAATTAAACTGGTTACATTTTGGTAATCACCTGACCCCTACCAATTTTTAAACCATGATTTCTGTGATCATGTAGGAAACGTTCACAATGAAAAAATTTCAGACAAAATTTACTAAATAAAAAATTAATATACGGTTTAACGACTGGATTTCAAAAGGGTCGCACATATTTGCAAAAAAATTTTCTTGTCATACAAACGGGCATTTTTATTTTTCAAACTTCATAATGCTGTAATTCGGAGGTGGATTGAGCAGGGGGGACTCTGGGGCGCTGCCCCCTCTAGAAAGTTTCGTAGTAAAAAAATTTTATTTAAAATTTAGTTTAGAATGTTATCTAGATAATTAAATACTTTACGAAATGCACTAGTCTCAAATTTCATTTGAAAAATACCGAATACGTGGGTTCCTCATAGCTCGCCCCTAAACCTGTAGTGTTCATAGTGATGGTCATGGTTACCGTCACGCAGCAATGAAAGATGGAGTGGGAGTAGCGCATATTTACTATGCCGTTTGAGCTCTGTTTAGTCCCCCTTTAACCAAATCATAGCTGTTAACCACTTCATTTTTTATTAAACATAATTTGTTGACGTGTGCTGTAAAACGTTTTGTTTCTTATGTTTTTTTTAAATATTGTACGAGTTTAAATTAGACTAAAGACAAACATTTGCAATGCTATCCGTTGTAAAACCAAGGATGCGGGATGGTGCGCAAGGTTTTGCAAATGCGGATTTAACAATCTAATTTGTACTTCACAAATTTTTTTGGAAATTTTTTTGTTACGAAGCTTACTTGCTTTATTATCAAAATATGACCACTTTAATTTTTTCAAGCTGTCTCGGATATACCGACGTGGTTTTCCTTATGCATCATAAGCTTAAACATTAATTTATACTCTCCGAAAATTATATTATCTGAAGAAAATTATCTAATATAAGTCTCTTTATCATTTTATAGTACCGTTTCACAATAAATCATTTATTATACCTACCAGAAAATATTAGTAACATACCTATTTATTTATTTAGGTACATATTATCTTAAATTGTCTCAATATATAGACTTATCGATTTAACATGATTCATAAACATTTTTATTGCTAAAGCAACAATAATTTAGCAAATTAAGAAGTCAAGACAAGGAATTTAATTTGAATATTTTTTACAACTATGAAATCATGATGAAATTAAATATTTGTAAAACCAATTATATTGATGAATGAAAAATGGTTTTATTAAATATAAGCAGAACTCATAACACTTATATTTTTTCATGTAGGTATATGTTTTTTAAACGGAATCTTCTGAGAGCACTAGAACAACACAACCAACCAACATTTTATGTATTTTTATTAAAGACTATACATTTATAGTTAAACCTTACAATTACAAAAACTATAAAGGATAACTTAAAAGTTGATTTTTATATACTAAATTTAACAACAATCTTATAAGTTAAATTATATTTTCATAAAACTAAACACTTAATTAATTAAATTAAAACTAATATTTAAATATTTTCCAAAAAAAAAACTACCTAATATCCTCAAAAAAACATGTATAAAAATAATGGGTAAAATCTATGCAAGAGAGTTTATAAAAGTTCCAACAAAATTTACATTCAGATATTACCCTTTATTTCAAATTACTTTGTTGTTTTTGCCAGTTCGTTCGATAACCAGTCAAGTCCTTCGTATAGACCATTTCCTTGAGTTGCACAAGTTGCTTGGATGTACCACTTCCTATTCCTAAGTGTATTTAAATCTAATTTATCGGTTATTTCAGCAGTGGACATGGAATTTGGCAAATCCTGTTTATTAGCGAAGATGAGTAATATAGACTCCCTCAAATCGGGTTCGTCCAACATGCTGCGAAGTTCAAGACGTGCCTCTTCAATACGATCTCTATCGTTCGAATCGACAACAAAAATAAGTCCATCTGTATTTGCGAAGTAATGCCTCCAAAGTTTTCTTATTCTTGTCTGACCGCCAACATCCCACACAGTAAACGATATGTTCTTGTATTCCACAGTTTCCACATTAAATCCGATTGTGGGAATTGTCGTGACAATCTCGCCCAATTTCAATTTATATAATATTGTAGTTTTGCCGGCAGCATCGAGACCAACCATCAAAATCCTCATAGATTTTTTACTAAATAGTCTATTAAACACTGCGGATATTGTCAAACCCATATTGTGCTATATCTACTTCTTACACGCGGTTATGCGAATATTTGCCACTACAGACTGATTAAATATATTATTTGATCACCTTTATCAACGCTATTATTAAATACGTGTACTGTAAGAAACTATTCGCGCACAACACTAACCGTTGGTATTTATGCAGATTTCTTAAAGCACTTCATATAACTGTGTAATTGTTCAATGGCCTGTGTTTCTCGTAACATTAACTTTAATAAACTAGATTCATTAAATATAATGGAATTTTAAGCTACATCTGCCTAAACTTAACATGTCAAACTTGGAACTTGGAAGTAAAAACGTCAGCCAAATTATTTCCTAAGATTCCGAATAGAGGTCGCAGCATGTTTAAAATTAAGCTACTATGAAAATAAAATTCCTAAATGGAACCTACACCTAAGAAGTGTCACAGATGAAGGATTCAAAAATAAGTTTCTAGACTTCCACCATACTGAGGAGCCACCTGTCATTTATGACCAAAACAACAATACTCGTGAATTTACTTTGTTTTAGTGAAAAAATGTTAGTAATAAAATATATTCTATTATTGGTACATTTTTATTATCATAAAATATAAGATTGGTTACATACGGCTTTATAATCTTAAACAATCTTAAATAACAAAGATTATTAAAAACTGAATGAAACACCAATAAATCCAGAAACGAGAATGAGTTAACGCAGACTGTATAATGTTTAAAAATACATCCATTTTTAGCAATATTTTAAAAACAACAGCAACATATATTGCACACAACATCCCAAAAACTACTGTCATCTTTCTGATATGTAAAATTTTCTGGAGGTGAACTGGTTGAATTGTTGTTTGTACTGTTTATGAAAACTATCTGAGATGGATCTATTGATAAGGGTGGTGGTTTATTTGCATAATATTCCTCATCAAATTCACTTCTTCCACTTTGCTCTGACTCTGAGCTATTATCATCATAACATCCATGTATTCTTCGAGCTTCCTGATCATTAATATGCATACTGAAAGAGAAAAAATACTAAACATACATATAGGATATAAACATTTTTCTACCGCAATAATAAGTAGATATCAATAGACATAGTATATTATTACAGTTTTGGATTGTAATTAAAACTTTAATAATCCATCCTGTAACTTTGTAGACATGAAAAAATCAATAAAACATTTTTATTTTAGGAGGAAGTATACAAACTGGAAAATAGTAAAATTGGGTATTAAACAGATTTTATAACCATAAAGATGATATTTTTTAAAGTTTGTTTTTAACGTTAAAACAGAAAAAATATAAAATCAACGAATTCAAATTTTCAATTGAACAGGTATTAACTGAATAATTATTTCATGTTTATATTAAACTATTAGGAAAAAAAATATTTTTTTTTAATTAAACAATAACTTACTTGAACGACATTTTGTTCAACTCAACACAGTTTTTCCCCGATGTCTTTGTCACACACACAAATACTTAAAAGTGAATACTGAATAGGAAGGAGAATCGGTCATCAGATATATGATGTATATATCTAACCTCAGCACTTTTTGTCCTTATGCTTTTTTCTAAACATAAATTTTGAGTGATTAAAATGTTTATAACTTGTTCATGTAGTTTGTTTATAAATTGGTTGATATCGTGAGACAAATGTAGAATAACCACAGACTATAGAAGTCTGTGACAATAACTCACGAAGTTTTTAAAATTGTTAAAATTTTTCTACCTGCTACACAAGGGAGAAGTCTGTTAAACACAAAGGAAAGGAATCCCAGTCCATCCCATAAAGCAAATATCATTATATACAATGTGTCTCAGAATAATATTTTTTAAAGACGATGGGTACATGAAATACTTACGTGATTACTGATTATATCTAAATAAATACCTTGTTATTAGTGATATGGGCACCTTAAAAATATTTTTTCATTTTCTGGAATGCCTATATACGGTACGATATAATATAAAAAGTAAAATCTAAAGAAAAACTTTAAAAATAGCAATATTTGAAATTAGTTATTAATTATTATAACGACATTGTACGGAATTTTTCTTGTACAGAACACTAACATTTTAATTACAGTATAATACAAATTAGTAAAATCATATACACTTTTTAAAATAACAAATGTTGGCCTTGAGCAAATCAACCATATTGAATGTAGAAGATTTTTACTGGTATATTTGTAGATTATGTAATTAAATATACAGGATATAAACAAATAAGTGCGAAAATATTCTGGGGGTGATTCCCTGTGAAAAATAAGGTGGGTCTTTCATGAACCGACTAAACCAGAATAGCAGTCATAAATTGAAAAGCTGACCAATTGGATATATCGTGCTGACCAATCGACTAATAGTTGATCGACCACGTGGTACAATGGAACCAGCCAGCCAGTCTCCTCAATAACGTATCAGTGGGTGTAGTTTCAAAATAACCAGTAGGTACAATTTAACTTTTGCATATTGCTTGACATTTGCGTAGCTGGAGTAGTTCTATAAGCTGTAAGTTTAATTGATTAACATATGTAAAATGAGTTTTGACGTTTTAAGTTTTATTGTTTTAAATACATCTCATATGTGGTTATTTATTGTTGTCTAGCAGTCTAATATAACTTTTTTTTTTAATTAAAAATGCAGGATTCTATAGAAGATTATATAAAACTCTCAACTAATGTTAAACCAGATGAGCCCGTTAAAACAAAGTAAGTCTTAGAACAGAATTCATTTTGATAAGAAAAAGGTATCACTGCTTGTATTTTAATATATTCACCTAATCTTTAACACATTACTTGAATTGAATATGTGTATCTGATCTACGAATACCTGTTAAGTTTGTTCTCATTAAACATAAAAACTGCAACCATCTCTTCGCAACTTTGATCGATACCACTTGACATATTTAGATTTATAAAATAATTTTTAAAATAAAAGTATTTGTTACACTAGCAATATTTTTCTTTTAGCAAAGATGTTCAGATAACTGCACAAAGGAAGAAAGAATGTGATATGAGGGCTATGAAAATTGTTGAATTTTCCATTGAAGGAAAATTACGACCAGAAATTTTTACAAGATGTGTAAGTATTACTCACTTTTTAACCTCGCAGTAAATACAGTTGTTCTGTTAATGAAATATAATTTTCTAATTTTCATATGGTTGTTAATTGCATATTAATTATATTTTTAGCTTCCTTTCATCGATCAGTCTCATTACCAAGACATAGTAGAAGAAAGAGCTATTACAAAACTATGTGGTTATTCACTTTGTGGCAAGAGGATCCCAGACATGCCTAAAAAACGATATTACATTTCCACAAAAAGTAACAAAGTTTATGATATTACAGATCGTAAGGTATTATGTAGATATTCTGTATTATTTATCCTTTTCTTTACCACCTTGATTTTAGAACTACTGCAGCAACTTTTGTTACAAAGCCAGTTTACATATTAAGAATCAGATAGACAACAGCCCTTTGTGGTTGCGAAAATTCGAAGACATACCAGAATACCAATTAATGGAATCTACTGAGGGGTAAGAACATTTGGATATATTTTTTTTGTTTCAACTTTCTTTATCCAAGTTACATTTTTTAACAGAAACATGTTTAGGTTTTATTTGTATGTGAATGAACATTTTTAATTACAATTTCTTGCCAAATTTATTTATTGAACTGTGTTTGTTCATTTTTAGAGGTTTGCCGGGTGAATGTATTGACCAGGGGATAGTAAAAGCTTTAGTAGAACCAGCTTTTGCTTCTATTTCCATGTTTACTGAAGTCTCTTTAAGAGATATCGTTGACAAAGAGAAAGGCAAAGAAAAACTAAGTCGAGGTGATAATCCATATTTCTTCACTTGACATATGTACAGGTCTAACTGAAATACTTGGTTAAATTGTAAGGGTGGATTTTGTGCTACAAATTAAAAAAGATTTTTATAAATGTAGCATCTCCCGAATTATATAGAAACTTATTTTGTTAAAGTATGGCCAAGCATTTTAGTTACACCCTGTATACACATTACTTAAATGCACAATATATATTTCCAGGTACTAGTTATAGGAAATCATCAAAGTTATTAAAATCCACAATGCAAACGATAGCAGAAAACTCGGAACAAGTTGAAGAAGAAGAAACTATAGCTGAGAAACCATTGAGTCTGAATAAGAACAATTCAAAATGTAATATTAAGAAATTCGAGCATTCCAATTCTTTAAGTACTTTGCCTGTTATTGACGAAAATGAAGAAAAATTCGAGAAAACCGAATTGGATGAGAATATTAGAAAGAATGTCGAACCTGTTAAGTCGTTTAGTAAAAAATCCAAGAAAAAAGGCACAAAATCTCAAAAAATGGATATAGAGTTCTTAATTAATAAAGCTCTCAAAGAATGGTTGACTTTAGAATCCTTTATTTTCATTCATGGAGAGACAAAAGTGAAAGAAATACTGAACGAGAAAAAACTGAGCGACTATTTCGAAGAGCTAAATATTACAGAGCTTCAAAGGGACCAACAGTTAAAATATATGAATATTTGTAAAAGACTACAATTGCAAGAAATGGCCGATGAGAAATTTGATAATGTCGTGGTCGGTAATACAAAAATAAAGCCCGTTCCAGATTACAAAAAATTAAAAGACGAGAATAAGGACTTGGATCTGAAAGTTAAATGTTTTTACAGTGGAGTATTGCATGAAAGAGAGGACACTAACTTCCCAACAGCAATAAATAAAAAAAGTGATGTAGGCGACGAGGGAGGCCCCCCAGCAGTTTTACCGCTAGTTGATGTAAACTCGCAAAATGCAATGAGGAGGAAAATTTTCCTGACTTCTATTAATAAATCGTAAGTTGACTTATACAGAGTATTTTCCTTTTAATATAACGTAAAACTCAAAAACCTAAGAACATCCTGCAATTAATAGTTTTTCTAAACTCGAAAATATATATAAAAAAACAAACATTTTAGTTCAGTTAAATCTGAGCCTACTTCAAAGTTATCAGCACTGCTGTCGTTCACATAAGCTATCACTCGCAACTTATCATGCATGCTATTAAAAGCGACAGTATTTCCAGAATTATTATTTGTGATAAGATTTTTCCCTTATTTTTTTTCCTATGGTCTTGTTTCAGCATGCACCAACTGCTTCAGGCACTGAATGTCGCCAATTTCTCTGCGATACTCTCCGATCTTCAAACCCTAGTGCGAACTTTCAATTTAAAGGCTGATAATATAGTTTTTAAACCTACCATATGGAATTTCATCACAATCGCATTACTAAACATGTGAGTTATGTAACCAGGTTTCTTTATAATTAATGTTTGAATTTTACTTTTTCTGCAGACTATCAATACGTGATAAGAACATTAAGAATATGTTAGAGGAAAAACAAAATCAAAGGTATATCGAACTTCAACTGAATTCCTTACCAAGCAAGGCTAAGTTTATCTGTGAAATATCGGCAATGATACAGAATATCGATTTATTTGTTGAAACCTATATATCTTCCAAGTAAATGTGATTTTGTTTTTATTTAAGTTACTTAAATATTAATAAGTAATAAATATTCCAGCAACCATGTTACGTTTGTTTGTTATACCCTGTAGTATATTTCTTTTTTAAGATGTTGAAATATTTCTACTATAACGAGCTTTACTTCTGTAAATTTCTGTAATACTGCTACAGAAGATCCTAACGTATATATTAGCATCACTAAATACTAGTTAAATACACTTAAATGGAAACAATTACCTCAAGAATCCTTATAAAAAATTGCTACAAGTCATTTGTATGAACACCTAAAATTCGGAGACATACTCGTACTGGGTCATTATTTAGTGCATAATTCACTCTTATTTTTGCTTATATGTTCAGTCCATATAAAAAAACTCAAAATTGAAACTTATAATTACATTTTAATTTCAATTTACGTGACGTCGTACAGTAAACCTAACGTAAATTATATTTTTTAATTTTATAAGTAAAATGTAGGTTATGTATATGTCATGGCACATTAACATAACTATCGTATAAATTTTCTATGGTATTAGGTGTGTTTTGGTTCCTACACCAACTTTTTGACCCTGGGTGACCACCCCAACGACATTCCATTCATAACATCTCATCTAATAAGCCATAACATACTAACAAAGTAACAAAACAGTTGGGTAACTATTCAGGACTGTCCGCTGACAGAATCAAAACCAGCCTATTAACAGATAGGGCCCGTACTGCTCATAGAAAATATAGTTAGTAACTATATTTTCTATGGTACTGCCAGTGCACATACTTAGTATGTGTGCCAGTGGTATTTATGTTATTTATAAGTGTGAGATTATGCGATGCGAGAAGGAGGTTATAATATAATAAGTAATACTTTTTTCTTACAAATTCTCAGCCGGATCAGGGAATATTTGTTTTGTTTATGATACTTAAGTCATGTCTCTCGTGCCGAAAGAGGACCGACCAAAATTAAAAGCAAAAAGATTTAGTAAGTTTGAACCTTCATCATCTATTCCTAAAACAGAAGAGCAATGTACATTCAAAGAAGATACTAACAACATTCCAAATAGGGGTCATAAAAGAATTGGTGCTAATGATGATACTTATTCATTTAAACCTAAAAGAATATGTACCGCAGCTAGTTTCAATGCACCACCACCACATGTAAAAAATTTAGCACACAATCGACTGAAGAAACTTAGAGAAGAAATTCAAGCAAATGCAAATAGTGAAGGATTTACTAGTAAAAACAAATCTAACTTTTCAACGAAATCAATATTACATCCTAACAATAATGGATCCATTGAAAAGTCGCCTACAAAATCAATTAAAACACATACAGATTTCACATATCCGCATTCTTTGCAAAAAAATCTTGCAGCGGATAGGCTTAAGAATATAAAAAGCAAGTTAAAAGAACAAGATGATAATAAAATTGTAAAGTCTCAATCCAGTCCTGCCTTACAGAAGACAGATACAGACATCAAAAATTCTGTACCGTATCAACTAGCAAGTCAAACGCTGGACGTAAATATTAATCAAGAAAATACCTCGGGCTTAGTGAAAAGCAGTAGTAATAATTTTGTAAGTAAAATGGAGATGACAGCATCTTGGGTAAAAACCCATCAAGACCAAAGTAGTTTTCATACATGTATCGAATCGCCTGCTAGTAATTTACCCGTCACTATCAAACAAAGTCAGGATACTACTAAAATTGACGAAGGAAGTGATGATATGGAATGGACGAATGTAAGTACATAACATAAACATAACTTGTCTGAAAGTGTAGTTTAATTTAACTAGTAATTTTTTTTTACTCTCCTAGGCGGAACCAGATGATGAAGTTGTCGACCCGAATAAAAACGAAACTGAAGTAAGCAAACAAGAGGAGGAAGTTAAAGAAATAATAAAGGATCCTGAGAAAATTAAAAATGTTTGTATTATAGTCGATACTAATGTCTTTATCTGGGGATTGTCAAAGATACGTGACATTCTAAATTTGAAAACAACTGGCAAGTATTAAAAATTTTTTATTAACTAATGAGTAAATAATATTCAGTGTAGAAATACTTTTACTGTTTGATCGTATCAAATTTTAGAATCGTTTAAGCCTATTATATATGTGCCATGGATGGTGATAACGGAGTTGGACTACATGAAAGACTCATGTTCTGATGCCAAACTGTTAAAAAGTGTTGTTAATGCCATAAAATTTATTAATGCCGCATTAGAAAATAATAATCATCGAGTCGTAGGTAAATATTGCATGAAATCATTGGTTGTATGTATATCTTACTCCAATTTCCTTTGATTTTTAATTAAAATTAATTTAAAAAAAATGTATATTAAGAGTTCATTTTTGTAGGACAAACAATATTTGATGTCGAAAGACAAAAGCATGTTGGTACAAGTCCTGATGATAAAATTATAGCATGTTGCCTTCAAGCCACAGAAAAATATGAAACTGTGGTAAGTTTATCCTAAAAATAGATTTCGTGACTTTATAGCAAATATTTTAAAATCGATGTGAAACATTCACCTTTTTTTTTTTTAGATGTTATTGTCAAACGATATAAATCTTAAAAATAAAGCAATGATAAATGATATAGCAGCTTGTTCGGCAAACGAAATAATGATGAAGCTCATGTCAAAGTTAGGGAGAAATACGAAATATCAGAAAATCATGAACAAATTGGGAATAATGTGTTCATCGATAATTTGTGATTGTATGAAGGCCGCATATGGAGATGTGTGGTTGAGAATGGATTTGATGAGTTACCCGCCTTGGTCGTTGATAGAGTGTTTAAAGCGTTTCAAGAAATATTGGAGCGCCGTTTTCAGAGACAAACTTTTGAAACAGTTTGTCAAAACGTTGCAAGATTTACAAAATGCAATTGAAAAAAATAAATGTAAGTTATTCGATACATTGTATGTGGAGGATTCAAAGGGTGACCGGCAAAAATCTGTGATTTTCGCCCTTTTTTCACAATTCGCAGAGAATTAAAAAATCACTTAAAAATATGTTTTTGCTCGCAAATTACTTGTCGTAAAAAAACTGAAATGAGCATAGCGTTTAGGATTTTGAAAATTTTAAAAATCACCTCTACTTAGCGGTTAAAAAAATGCCAAAAATGAAGAATTTGAATATTATGAATTGATATAAAAACTATTAGCATGTGAATTATCTTAATATATTTTTTTTTGGAATTTTTACAATTATTTCTGATATTTTCTATTTTTGGGGATGATTCCACCCCCTGAGCGTGCTTAAGGGTGGATTTTTTAATACAACATGCTTATTTCAGTCATGAAAATAAATCTTTCTTTGTGTCAAGAATCATTTGATAGAAAAATTCACATGCTAACAGTTTTTATATTTATTGGTAATATTCAATTCTTCATTTTGGGCGTCTTTTCAACCCCTAAATAGTGGTGATTTTTTAAAAATTTCGAAAAGCTAAAAGCTATGCTCATCTTAATTTTTTACGAGTAATATGAGACCAAAAACAAATTTTTATCTATTTCCTTTAGTTCTCTGCAAATTGTGAAAAAACGGGCGATTTTTGGGGTCACTCTTTTGTTACTAGGTGCACGTTATTTTTTACGAATTTAATTGTAATTTCCTATACCGTTATTTGTTCAAGTCCAAAATTATTTTTTTAGATATACGTGACGATTCGGAAGACTTTGAAGAATTTATGAAATTATGCATTACATTGTGTGTCTTTTTAAAAAATATAGAAGAGAGCAGAGGCTTTGTGGAAAACACGTTGGCCCAGATTACAAAGATGACTTAACCAAACTATAACCAAATATAGTTAGGGTATTTATTTTTATACCATCTGCGAATACCTTGTTAATAAAATTTCAGTTTTATTGATACCAATTCTTACTCACTCACCTTATCCAATATGTAGGCACACTGAAATAATTGCAGTGTCAAAATAACACAATTTTCCCACTTGCACGCATATGACACAAAAGGAAACGCCTAAGCTGGAAACTGACATCGTTGGAACTCGGGTATAAACGCCAAATAGGATATATAAAGCTTTATTTCTGTAATTATATATTTAACAATAAGGAAGTAAATAAATTCAATTCACAGATACTGACAATAAAAAAAAGACATCTATGTTAAGTCATCATCTGCGGAATCATCATTCTCCTCCCCGTCCGCATCGTTGGGAACTTCAGGTCGAATATTATTCAGTAGGTCCCTCATCGCGTCTACCAAAGAGGCGACGCTTCTTCTTAAATCGCCACCCTCGTTATTATCTCCGCCTTCAGCTAATGCCCTTGCGCCCTCTTCTTCTCTACCGCTAAAACGAGACTGTGAAGGATGAAGTCGTTATCGAAAAATTAAACTTACCCTTCTAAAACTGGAGGAATGTTGTACGGATTAAAATTGGGCAAGATCGACCTAAAGAATATGCCCAAGGGGTTTGAATTATTAACTGGCAAAGCGGGTCTTTTTGGTCTCGTATAAATATTTATGGAATCCTTAGGAGGAAGAGGGTCGAAACTTAAAACGGGCCCACTGGAATCCTGAAATATTAACGTTTCTTAAAGAATAAGCAAACGCAAATTATAAACAGAGATTAAGGGCATAAATATATTTTAATACGCACATCCGCCAACGGCGAGACTCCTTTCAAATCCGACAGTAAAATATGTCTCGCTATGGTCTGAGGCAGTGGTCCGACATATCTTTTTAACCTTTTCATTTCATAGTCTTCCACAAGTGGATCGCCTTTTTCCACTCTATCTAGTACTTCGTGTACATTTTTCTCGAGCCATGGCAACAGATCGCTGTCTTTCCATATGTGGTAACTCCTATTTATGTATAAAAGGGTCAACTGATTCAAAGCTGGGGACTGCCTACAATAAAAAAAGTATCGTACAGCCGTACCTTCTAATTTTAATTATACTCGACTTACTTTTTTTGGTCATTGGCGTTCGAAAAGAAAGTATGGTAAGTCACCCTGTTGTCTATCTGAACCGAGCATTTCTCAAGAAGCGGCATCAAGACGCCCGGAAACATCAGCAAAGCATCTTGCAGCAAAACGTCGGCTTTTGCGCTGTCCCCAACGTAAAAGTACGCAGCTGCCAAGGAGAATGCAAAGTTGGGCAACTGTAAGAGATTCTTGCTACCGTCCCATTCCGTTACGAAATCTATCAACCACTGATACTCCCTTGCTCGTATGGCGTAAAAGTCTATAGCCAATTTAATCGCCACTGGATCTCCATCAGGGTCAAGGGACAAAAGGAACTTGCAGAATTCTAATGATGTCCGATAACAAGCCTTTCCCCCGACGAACATCAAGTGTTTGAAAATGGTGATATATAGGGCCCTAAAATAGTACATCAGTTAAAAAATACCTAAGGACTAACCTGTCAAACTATGTTTAGAAATGTGATGCATCAAGTTAAAAATAAAAATGAAGGAAATACCTATTTTCCTGTCTCTTGTAATCCAACCGACAGCTCCCTTGTGCAACATTAAATAATGGGTGGAAAGCATATTCTAAACAATACAGAGCCCTTTCGATAAGTTCAGCAGCCATAGCCAAATCTTCGCTCAATTTACAAAGGTCGGAAAGTTGAATTAGTGCATCTACGTGGTATGGATGATCATTAATTATAGCGACAATATTGTCGGGATTTAAACTTTCAACTGCCTCTAAAAATTTGTTTTGTACCTGTCTGTAACTCTGACTATGTTCGTATGCAAAATACTGTATTCCATTTTTGTTTTCAATATAGTTCATCGACAGACCCGATTTGCCTACTTGGGGCCAGTTTTCCTTACAGTTTACCATTGTTGTTGGTTTCACGTGACCTCTTCCACCGCCTCGGTTTTTACGTTTGCTACAAAATAACAGTACATACTTTAAAAAGATGATGAATCAACAAAAATACACTTACTGTTCACTTTGAACTATTTTAGATCCAAATATCCTTTTCAGTTCATTATTGGGATTTAAGTGTTTGTGCTGAACAGACAAGATGTTTCGTCTGTGAGTTGATTTGTCATGTTTAACATTAGTAGGAGTTGCAACTTTCGGAATATAATTTTCTCCCAGAAGTCTATTTACTTCTCTAACAGACCTTTCCACTTCATCTATCTAAAAGTTTAAATCAATTTGCAAATTAAAAATACCATTTTTGGCATAACTTTTTACTAACATCTGCATTATCCTCACTACTCCTTTGGGTGTTAACGTGTTTTCCAGATTTTTTCTTCTTCTTTTTCTTTTTCCTTTTTATGTCATGGGAATCTCCTCCTTCACATGATTTAGCAGCCTCTGTTTCATTATCATCTTCTTTCACTTCGCTTTCGGAATGGGAGTGTTGATTCAACTTAGAAAAGAGTGGAAGAAATGAAAACTTGTACAATGTTATTAAAAATTATTATATTTTAAGTGACATACCAAGTCATAACGATTTATATTTAACTGTTTTCTTCTTGCTCCTCCAGATACAGGAGTATCTGTCTCTGTATCAGATACTTCATCTGCTAATTCTTTGTCTTTATCACCTTGCAATTTTCTTAAAACTCGTGAGGACATGATTACTTTGTAATGAAATAATTTAATAAAATGTGGGAGTAAGTAATTATTAAATAACTTATAGCAGTATTAATTTTGTTTTGACGTATGACAAGACGACGTTTTCAAGTGANACCTACATTCGGTTGGGTTAACGGTCGATAATTACTTAGTAAGATATACCAGGGGTCAGCGGAATTATCAAGCAGAGCCATCTCATGAAGATCTCAAATTCGAAAATTTTTACAAACCGACTTAGGCAGAGCTGCGCGAGTTTGAGAAGGAACGCATTCGGTTAAAAGGAATAAGACGCATACATAGACTGTATCAGATACTTCATCTGCTAATTCTTTGTCTTTATCACCTTGCAATTTTCTTAAAACTCGTGAGGACATGATTACTTTGTAATGAAATAATTTAATAAAATGTGGGAGTAAGTAATTATTAAATAACTTATAGCAGTATTAATTTTGTTTTGACGTATGACAAGACGACGTTTTCAAGTGACACTTCTGTTTTCTTCTTCTTCACTTCTGTTACTTATTTACTATAAGATGGACCATTGTCGCAGCGCAGCACCCACAACTATTTTAAGTCGACGTGATCGAGCTGATTATAAACTGACCGTAGACGTAGATCACAAAATAACCGTGTTTTTTTTACCTGAAATCTCAGCTAATCTCAGTTATTCTGAATGCTGATTGGACAATTAAGTGACACTTAGTGAGATCTCAGGTAAATAAATCAAGAGGAATATTTAAGCGTTCTCTAAATATTGAGTAGCTTAAATAACCAATGATCTAAATAACGAAACAGATAAAAATATCAAATATCTTTCACTCTTTTTAAAAAATTTGTAGCTTTAAATCACAGCAAAATCTTTGGGTAGTCTACTATTACTATACGTAACTAGCGTATATAAGCATAGCTTGCAATCTTAAAGCTTTAACCTAAATTTAAATTAGGGTCTACGAGCAACGAATTAGGGTAAAAATCGTTGGGTTAGTTAGTAACCCGTGGTTAACAGTTGGCAATACAAATATAGCTTGACATTTGACAATTTGATCTTGACAGACAGCTGACATAACCTTACTTAAGAAATTGTTTACAGTTTTACACAATAATAAAATGTATTTAGATAATAAAACTTAACAGTCGCCATGTATTAATTAGCTAAATGTTGAGGAATTTACATTTAGCACAACTGTCGTATAATTTGGACAAATTATAAATATGAAAGTTAGAAGAAAGAAACGAAAAATGATGAAGATTGAAAATTCAGATCCTCCAGTGAAGGATGAAACGGAAGAAAAGGAGGATGAAACGGAAGAAAAGGAATCAGTTAATAACGAAGAAGTAACCGTCCCTTTGACTGAGAGTACTGAGAAAACTGACCCAGTCGAAGTGGAAAAAAATTCGGTGAACATTTGTAGATTATGTCTCGTTTTTATTGATGATAACTTTGTACCACTGGAAAATATTCTTGCAATGCTTCAGATAGTTTTACCAGAAGTGGTTAGTATCTTAGTTTAACACAATACATGTAGGTCATAGATTTATTTATATCAATTGTTTAATAGTCGAGACAAGCTTGAATTGCTTTCGATATAAATTATAGCTAATGATGATTTACTTATATGAGTAGGTATGTAGATATGCATTATATATTAACATGAAATAATTTTTCTTCATAGGATCCGAAAATTACTAAGAAACCTGTGGTTTGTCAATTGTGTTGTGAATTTCTTGAAAAGGCATCTAATTTTATGATAAATAGTTTAAATGTAGAACAAAAAATTAAGAATTACTACAATGCAGCTAAAACTGAGGAGGAAATCGATTTATTTAATGTGTTAGAATTTGCTTTTCCTAAAATTGAAATGGATAGCAGTATTATTAATGGGAATGACTCACAGTATGACGATAACGGTGATTTTGTTCCAACTGACATCTTGGAAGTTAAACAATCAAAGGACGATGAAGAAGCCTCTAAAGTTGATGAAGACATCAAACCAAGACCGTAAGTTTTATTTTTTTAGGAGTAAAGTATACTGGCACATTGGTCCATCTGTATGAGGCAAGACCATTTCAATTTCTTGATTTTTTATATAAATTTTTTTTCAGGAAACTTCAAGTGCGTGCTAATTCAGACGGTATAACTTATTATAATTGCACGATGTGCAGTTTTAAAACAAAATATAAGTACAGCATTAAAATTCACATGACCATGATGCATACAAATCCGGACGAGATTATCATGTACTCTTGTTCTCTTTGTTCTTTCCAAACAAAACACAAACGATACTTGGAAACCCATATGCTCGTCCACAAAGATCCGGAACAATGTACGATGCACAAATGTAAAATATGCTCTTTCAAAACAAAATTCAAAAGCTACATGAAGACGCATATGCTAATCCATAAAAATCCGAATGAGATCACTATGCATAAATGCCAGTTTTGTCCCTTTCAAACTAAACATAAGAAATACCTGGAGACCCACGTTTTGATCCATATGAGTCCAGATATGATCCCTATGCACCGTTGCGTCAAGTGTGATTTCCAAACGAAATCGAAACCTTATCTTAAAACCCACATGCTCACCCATAAGCAACCGGGGGAAGTTCCTATGTACCAGTGTAACGAGTGCAGTTTTCAGACCAAGTTTAAATACTATTTGAATAGGCACATGATAATACACAAAAATCCGGACGAAATTACTATGTACAAATGCGAGCAATGTTCCTTCCAAACCAAGCACAAGAAATACCTGGAGACTCACAACACCATCCACAAAAGCCCCGACGAGTTGATTATGTACTCGTGCACGTTATGCGAGTTTCAGACCAAGTCAAAAGCTTACCTCTTCAAAACTCACATGCAAATCCATAAAAGTCCAGACGAGTTGATCCTCTTCAAGTGTGAATTGTGTGCCTTCAAAACTAGACACAAGAGCTACCTGGAGACGCACATGCTGACACACAAGAGCCCTGACGAGATAACCATGCACACCTGCGCGGAATGCGACTTTCAAACGAAATTCAAACATTACCTCAAGAGGCACATGCTCATCCATAAGGCACCTGACGAATGCGTCATGTATAAATGCCAAGAGTGTTCCTTCGAGACCAAACACAAGAACTATTTGGACACTCACATATTATACGTTCACAAGAGCAAGGACGAAGTAACCATGCACTCGTGCACCCAGTGCGACTTTCAGACCAAATCGAAGGGTTACCTGAAAACCCACATGTTGCTCCACAGGAGCCCCGACGAGATTACCATGTACAAATGTAAGAGGTGTAGATTTAAGACTAAACATAAGAGTTATCTGAAAACTCACATACTTCACATGCATAACAGGAAGTGGTTATACAAGATTTAGGTGGGGGCGAGAGTAGGAGCTTCAATGTGGACCACTTCAGGTGATGCTGTACTGTTAGTAGCCCGTTATTTTATTTTATTTTTATTTTTTGTAAAGTAGGTACCTCATGTCTGCAGGGTTGGTATGTTACGTTTGGAAACTACGTGTGCTAAATATCATGTCTCATAATGCTCTAATAATTGGCCTCATTTATGGACCAATTGAGGCTTCTCCTATTTTTGTTAACCCCCTTACTAGGGTGATATTATTGCTATATTTACTTACCAGTTTATGAGTCTTTAATTTAATGTACCATGGTTTTTCTGGTTGTTATGCCATGGCCTTTATACATATATTGCACTTCCTTAACCTTAGCTAGGAATCATCGACTTGCCCTTTTTGTTCTCGGGCTAGGCTCTGTGGTATCAGAACCCCTTGGTCTGCTCTGGTTCTTATTGTCAATTCTAACGCCGCATCCAATGCTTCATTGTTGCCATCTTCAACGGCTTCATCACGATTTGAGTAACAGTTGACCCCTGAACTGTTCCGTCTGTAGCAGAACTAGAATGAAGGCCTAGGAGTTCTAATAGCGGGTCTGACCCCACAGAACCTAGTCTAAGAACAACAAAGGTAGGTCAAAGATTCCCAGTTAAGGCTACGGAGATACAATGTAAGTCTGTCTTCTCCATAGAAAAAATAAACTGCCACTTACACTTTTTTCGAGCCAGTTAAGGAATATTGCAAAATAAAAATAATCAAACGAATATTAAATGTAACATAACCACTACAGTGTTAAAGAATGTTCTTTAGTATGGGATGTTTTCTAATATTTTGTTTGTATGCTTTTATCAAAGTAGTCTTATTTTTTTATAAATTTATTTATTGATTGTTATTTACAAAATTCACTTCAAGTGGTCCCAATTATACTATAGGATTGGATATACATGAAACTTCTGATTTTCTGCCTTTACTGATCTCACTTTTAACAAATTGTGAGCCAAAGTTCCAAAAACCAAATCGTTGAGAATTTACAGGAATGAGACTTTTTTTTAACTATTTAACTTTTTAAACTTAACCGTTCCTACTTTTTTTGTTCTAAAAATTATTTCACGAACATTTTAAACGATTTTTCATGACTGACACAGCCACACAAAAAAAAGTTGTACTTTTCATGTGACATGTTATCCGTAGTATTTTTTCCTCCTGATCACAAATCCAGTGTCGGAATTGAGCTATCAAATTACAGGAATTTTCTAACCTCAAAAAACAGGTCGAAAATAGCAAATATTCATGAAAAAATGTTAGGAAAAATACAAAAAATTTTTTTTCTATATTCATGTTAATTTATTTGGTTGAGACCCCGCCGAAAGTGAATCCGCGGTCAGATTTGATGATTCTTTTTCTAACCTCAAAAAAATGGATCCGAGTTCAATTTTGCAAAATTGAAGATGGCGGATCCAAGATGGCCGAACAATTTTTCAAAACATTCGCGCCAAATTTGGTATGCGGGGATTTTCGGGGTCGTTGATCACGGATCCGAGGTCAATTTTGCAAAACTCAAGATGGCGGATGACCCTGAAAACCTCCGTATACAAAATTTGGCGCGAATGTGTTATTTTTTTATAATTTGGTCGGCCATATTGAATCCGCCATCTTGAATTTTGCAAAAGAGACCTCGGATCCGTGATCAGCGACCCCGAAAATCCCCGTGTCCCAAATTTGGCGATTTTTTGATGACGTGATTTTTTTTGCATTTTTCCTAGCACTTCGTGAATTTTTGACCTGTTTTTTTGAGGTTAGGAAATTTCTGTGATGTGATAGCTCAATTTTGACACCGGATTCGTAATCGGGAGGTAAAAATACTCCGGATAACATATGTCGCATGAAAAGTATAACTTTTTTTTGTGCGGCTGAGTAATTAAGTAAAAATAAAATCATTACTTCTAGTAGATTTGTCTTCTAAATATGTTTTACTTCTTTCAACTCGCAGGTGTGACTAAATACTTTGTACAGAATTTTTCATTGAAGTTATTTTTTTTTTTATTTAATGTGGAAGAAATATAGAAAGCTGATCTTTTAGAACTAGACATTTACATCACTTGTAATGCTGCAATATGTTCAAATAAATATCATTTATTAGTAACATACATAAGAGTATAACTCTGTAACAACTAAGTAAACATTATTTTACTGACAATATTCGCATATTGCGGCACTCTTAAATGTGCGCTAGTATTAAATTAAAATCATGAAGAAGTACGGTTAGTTACATTCTTCATCAGGGCTGATATCGCTCCTCAAAGTTCCTTCGCTATTCAGAGACAACATTTTGTGGGACATAAATTATTATATCACTACTTGGAATACGATAAATATTACTTTTTTAACACAAAATTATTAATTTATCAGACCTTGATTAACATCGATGTTAATTTCTTTGTTGTTCCTCTTTGTTTTAACAAAAGTCAAAGTAAAGAAAACACTATGTTCCGCTAACGAAATAGAGGCGTAGTTGCTGTTAACTCTAGTTTTAATTATTTTAGCTATATATTCTCGTGCCATGTAATTTACATTTTATTTATATGAATTCATTTGCTTTAAAGTACATGTATTGGAATATGTGACTGTTTCGTTTTCTGTTTTTGTCATATATAGTATGCTATATACAGTGCTGGTCATTTCTCGATTACGATGCGGGGAGGATAGAGGGAGCCACTTTTATGGTCGTTACCACTACAGGATATAATCGAGTCCTGGTCAACACTGTACAAAAATATAAATGTATGTATTAAATAATAGCAGAAATAAAAGTTCCTGCCCAATAATTACTTCGTAATTATTTTATTCTAGTCATTATTTTGCATGAATTTTCTGCCCGATGCAAGATTAAAGTAATTATGATGCTAAATGCAAACAAGATCTTTGTAATTTTGTTTATTTCCAATCTTTCATACATTATCTACAAGTAAAACATTAATAATAATAATATTGTTGGAGTAATACAATAAAATATCCTTACTGCTATAAATTAAATGAGTAACATATTTTTAATTTTTTGTGCACTCTTAGGTGCATTTTTTTACATTTTCCATTAACGTTTGTAACAGAATAACTACTTCTACTGTAAATGTACAGTTATTTAAAAAGGACTAACCTATTAAAATAAATTTGCGTAATTTATAATATATATTGTTCAATTCACTTGGGTTTGCTTGAGATTTAAGTAGGCATCAGCAAAGTATTAAAATTGTTGGAAAACATCTCTCGATATAATTAATTAATTATGTAATAAATTTATTTTGAGTGTTATTTAATACTGGAGCAATAATATTCTTTTTAGACTCGTAAATGTTCACAATCTATCTGATGATTCAAAATGGATAAAATTAGTGAATATTTCCACTTTGATCTCTGTAATAAATAATTTTTACCATATTTTTTAATCTCACCAACCAAATGCTTATTAAAGCATTAAACGCATAGTAAAGTTTATTTAACATCACAATATACTCGGGTAACGAATTAATAAATTATTTGTCAAGCCGAATATATAACATTACATGATTTTTTTTTGTTTCATATTTCTTCCTGTTTAAAGTATAACGAGCGTTCAAATAAAAACGTGGTCGACATTGGCTCTGACACATTGGACGTAGGGCGTAGCTTATAGCGACCAACTTAACCTCATTTCTCAACGAGCTGTATAGCAGCTGTCAGTTTCAATAACAAAGCGGCGATACAGCGCTTTGACAGATGACGTTTAAGTTCATTTGCTATACGCTACGCCCTACGTCCAAATTTTCAGAACCAACTTGACCACGTTTTTATTTGAACGCTCGTTAT